GGCCGGGCCGCGACGTCAGCCCGGTGCTCGCTGCTCCTTGGCTGCTCGCCCTCCCTAATCCTCTGCCTTCCTGCTGCCCCCGCGGATGAAAGTCCTGCCAGCGGCGCCGGGCTCAGCATGAAGGCCTTGACATTTGTAACTGGGGGGTGGACAACGCCGGATCACTTTTTTTTGCCTTAATTTTTTTTTTAAAAGGGCAAATCCAAGCTTCCTAAGCAGCCCCTCTTCACCTAACCTGCCTCCCCTCACCACCACCACCCAGTATAATTTCCCTATTGACTTTTCACTTTTAAAGCAGGTAGGGACATTGTTTTGGCACAGCTCCCACTCCGGCAAAGTCACCATGACCCTGTTCTACCTAGCTATGCTTTAATTACAATGCAAAAAAAAAAAAAAAAAAAAGCATGTGCTTCCCTGAACCATAAACCAGGTCCAAGTGTCTCTGAACACATAAAAATAGGCAGAGAAATATAGACATAATGGAGCAAGCTTGGAAAAAAGAGCAAATCTACCCTCCTTGGCAAAGGCCTGGCTTCCAGGTGCCTAATTATATAACAAAGCTACTTTGTCCTTGCTACACACTGTTTGCTATTCAATACCAATATCCTTAATGGAGCTGCAAAGCACACCACGTCCTGAGTTTGTAATATGTAAATAACAGACCGGCTCTGGCAGCTCCCTCTTTAATAAGTGTGCCTTCTATTAAAACGGCAGCAGACATAATTATGAACTAACCAGTTAATTTGAATACCTAAAACCTCACATGTCTGCAAACCACACCATGATTTCAGTTCTCCGAAACTGGCAGATGGTTTAGTTGTGGCGTTCTTGGATTGTAAAAGCTGCATCGTTTCAGAAAATAAAGCAGCTCGCGACAATAACACGCACAACAAATGCGCCGTACAAGTGTGCCTGGTGGATACTCGGGCAAGTTCTCACAGTTGTGTGCACAGCGACAGCCGATGCAACTATCGCGACTGTGCAAGAAGCACACACACATTTTGTAGGATCTAGGGCCTCGATCGAGGATACAGCAAACGCTATTGCTGCCTCCAGCCATCCCCAGCGCGGCGCCAGGGAGCGTTTCTGGACACCGCACGTACCAAGAGATGGCAGCATTTCTCTTCCAAGCAGCCTGCACCTTCCTGAGGAAATGAGAGCGAATGGTTAAACATGTTAACTGGAGCTCCGTTTAAATTTGAATATTGTCTGGCTGACACTTAGGCATTATTACTTCCGTAGGTAGGATTTGATGGGCTGTACTCTGAGGTTTGTGTTACATTCCACTAAGAGAGAACTCCTTCAGTTGCACAAGCTCTACATATGTCATTACCAAAACCACAGAGGTCTTAAGAAATAAAAAATTCCTCACAAGGACCTAGTAGGAGGTCTAAAAGGCAGGGATGGAAGCATCTCCAGGACCTGCGATGGGGAAATGGGTGTTACCTGCCCTCGCGGGACACCTCTCCTCAGGACGTCGGACACCATTTGCTGCTTGGCCCAAGAAGGGCCAAAAGCTTTCACGTTTTTAACACTAAGCAGTATATACTAACAAAGCAACATGAGTACTAAAATAATAATAAAAAAAACACCGTTCTCTCCAAATATTACTAAAAAAGCCGGCTAAAGCTACTCAACCAGGCCAGGACACACCGATTGGCAGCGCTGCGCCACAGCGCGGCCGCCATGTCGCGCCCTTCTCCACAGGCACCGCGTGAGCAACGCCCCTCCCCCGCAGCACGGCCCGCCTAGCCACGCCCCGCAGCGCCACGTGCCTCCAGCGCTGTCCTCCTATTGGACAGGGCGGGACGCGAGGCAGTATAAAGAAGAAGGAGGGGACGGTGTTAGGTCTTTTCCTCAGTGCGGATGGCGGAGGTGAGCCCGCTGGGGGGGTGCGGTGGCGGGCGGGATGGGCCGGCAGCGCTGATGTCTTTGACACGTGTTAGACTTCTGACACGCATGAAGCAAAACTACCTCTGAGCTCCCGGGCTGCTCCGGTCCCGGGAGGCAGCTGCAGCCAGCAGCCTCCCCAACCCTCCGCTGACCCCCGCGGC